CCCCCCCCTCCCCCGCAGCTTCTCCCCCTAGTCCCCCCTCTGGCCGCCAAGGGCCCCGCACACGAAGCAGTGGGACCTCCCGTGGCAGGCGCCGCCCCCAGCCCTGAGCCCCTCCTCCCCTTTTCTCCCCCCTTCCAGGTTCTTGCTCCAGTTCCTCTGCAGTGATATTTACCCCCCCCAATAAAAAACACTTTATTTTTCACACCCAAAAGTCTGCTTTATTGTATCTGCAAGAGGGTTGGGGGGTGGGAAGAGAGGTTAGGGGAAGGGAAGGGTGTGGAAGGAAAGGCACAAAAGGGCAGAGCAGAGGCCCCGGGGGGGGGGGGGGGCCCCGGAGCCTTGGCAGAAACTTTCCCTCGGGGCCTCCTAGATGCACACAGCCCCCGACGGGCCTACTGCATGACAGCAATGCGCAGCAATTCAAAGGCCTTGGTGAGCCGCTCCCCCTCCCGCGACAGGATGGCACATCTCCCCTTGTTCTCATACAAGTTGTGCAGGACACAGCAGCCTGCCACCACCTGAGGATGTTCTGGTTGTTGAAGTCCAGGTGGGTGAGGAGACACCAGAACCTCCCCTTCAAACACCCGAAGGTGCCCTCCACTATGATGCAGCGCCTGCTGAGCCTGGCACAGAAGTGTTCTTTGGTGGGGTCCAGGTGTCCCATGTAGGGCTTCATTACTAGGGGAGCAAGGAATAGGCTGTTACCTTCAATACACATGGGCATGTCGACATCCCTGACCCTGATGGAGTGGCTGGTGGGAGGGGAGAAGGAGTGCCGGTGTGCATCCTCTGGCAGAGGCTGGAGTTCCTAAAGCTGCGGGCATCATCCGCTTTCCCCGGCCACCCGGCGTTAAAGTCAGCGAAGTGGCCTCGGTGGTCCACGAGGGCCTGCAGGACCATAGAGAAGTACCCATTCTGGTTGATATAATTGGAGGCCTGGTGGTTGGGGCCCTGATGGGGGTGTTGGTGCTGTCCATGCCCCCCTCCTGCTGCCGTGGAGGAAGCCCACGGCAGCAAAGCCAGCCACGGTGGGGTCCACGTCAGCCAGGAAGATGACCCTGTGCAGCGGGATTGCATTGATGGCTCTTCCCACCGGTAGAATCAAGGGATCACAGGGTAGCCAAAGCCCTTTGGCGTTCCCACAGCACGAGCAACCCCCAGGAACCCCAGCTCCAGCATGGGGAAGGTGGAAGTGCAAAACCTCCAGGAAGGGAGAGTCCACTGTCCCCCGTCTCTAGGGAAGCCATTGCAGTAGTTCCCCACCCTCTTGGGACAATGGCAACAGAGTCCTACCTGCATGGGCATGGTCACGACGGTCGACCTTCCCCAGGCCAAGCTGGTTCCTGATGGAGCAGTAGCAGTCTGGTGTGGCAACCTTCCAGAGGGGGATGGTGACATGCTTCCGCAGGGGAATGGTGGGTTGCATGCCTGTGTCCTGTCACCAGAGGGCAGGGGTGAGCCACTGGCACAGCTGCAGGGAGGTG